ACCATAGTGGAGAAAGATGAATCTGCGACTTACTCGCAAAGGATATTACTAGAATTATTTAAGGGACATTTCTAAGAGCAATCCAACAAGCCTCCAGCTCCTACACCATTGCCAAACATCCTATTGGGCCCAAAATGGAACACTGATAGGCCTTCCAACTGCAGAGAAAGCTGCAAGCTGGGACGAGAAAGGGAAACAGAAGCAGATGCGTTAGCACGAAATATTTGAGGACAGATTTTCAAGTACGTCTTTGTAGTACTGCTCACGTAGAGTGAAATTACCATGTACCGTAGTGACGTTACGCTGAAGATACTAGGCTGGAAACGGAAGTAGGTCAGTGGTGGTGTAGCGTATGCCAACCCACGGCCTACCTTGACGTGCAATATTAGCTGAAGTAGTACTGGATTGGGAGAAAGCTGGGTGTAGCCACATCAATACATGGAAGCAGTCTATGAAGTTCCTGGCTGTTAGTCTGAGACATGTATGGCGATGTAGACTGCTCAGTTAACAGAAATCAGTGATTAGAGACCCTTAATGACATGATTGAAAATTGATCTCAACAATGCAGATATGCTCACCTTTTGTTGTCTTCTAAACCTTGAGTATATCAAAAACCTTCATTTTTTGTAATTCTCCTTCCTCGCGTACACCCGCCTACCTTTTCTTGCACTTGTTTCTTCCATGCTACTGTGAAGTGTGACACCATGAACCGAACCATATCTGTGTGAGGTTAATTTCGGGTGTCTGTCCACCTAACTGAGATCTCATTGTTACACTAACCAAATAAGAACTGTTCCTCCTCAACTGATGCATATTACTGTCTCATCTAATAGTAGTGAGTGAAACGGTTTACTTCACTTACTTAGGAAATCAAGGGGAGCAGATTTAGGTTCACACCACTCACTATCTAGCGCAAGGAACCATCAAGATGAGGTTGAAAGCCTTGAAAGAAGTTATTGATAGACCACAGATCAAGTTCAACAACCAAAACACAAACTAAAGGAAAAAATTACAAAAGACATCTTCACGTCAGCTATCAGAACAAAATAGGAGACTTAGGCAACATTCCTGAAAAAACCTGCGTTGAAGAACACTGGAACTCTTTGAAAGAGACGTGGAAGGAAACCTGCAAAACCGTGTTAGCAAGGAAGAAGATAGTGAAGAAAGCTAGTTACCAGAGAGGAGAAACAAAGGAAACGATGGGCTGACCACTCCAAAAAACTCTTCAATCGACCACCAATACTACCACCTGCAGCTAGTCCAGGAAAACAAATGGAAGCCATGGAACTATCAGTGAACACAAACACTCCGACAAATATAGAAGTGAAGTCCTCAACGCAATTCCATTAACTTCCGAGAAAACGAAAAACTACAACCATCAGATGCAATCCAACCACAAGCACGCAAAACACACAAACAAAAAACACCAGTCGACATCCTCATACCACTATTGCAAAACATCTCGAAGGAAGAACAAATACCTGCCAACTGATTCCCTGAAGGCCTACCTCGTCAAACTCACAAACAACCGACACCTATGCCTTTCCAAGAAACAGCGAGAAAGCATGTCCCCCCCCCATCACCTCCCCCTCATGTACACCCCATCATACCAAATTATTAAGCCAAATCATCCAACACACACTAAAAACATCCTCTCAACTCACAATCACCAACAAAACACACTGCCTGCACTCCACAACAGAAAATCATATGCACATCAAATTTCAACACCACGTTACACATCATCCTCACACAACACACCATACAATCCCACTCAACCGCATCTTTAGCTCAACATCATCCAATTCCAAAACGCATTCCACAGTGTACACCCACAACCAATTTCACACCTCACACTTCAACACTACAGCTTTACTGCCACAAACCTTCATCAAACTCATTCAACACCAGCTATGTGCTATACCACCATAATGCTACATGACAAGTCATTCACAATGCAAAGCTCAACAATGCCCTCCTTGAAGTAAAGACAACGGACAGCAGTAAGACAACCTCGACGCCTACTATCACCCATCATCTTCCTGATTCTGCTCTACTCAACTTCACTGCATCATCCAACACAACTGTGAACAGCAACAAGATGGGCATATGCTGGCTGGACTGGTGAAAACACCCCAGAAGAAGATTTACACTTCGCCCATCATCATTTATATCTAATGTCTTATGTCGCACAAACTCGAAGACCTAAAGGAGAAAACTAACAAGTTGACAGAAGAGACAGCGAAGATGGCACTGCCTTCAGCTGAACATTCACAAGACAGAGGTGATGAAGATACCCAACCAACAACAACAACAACAAGAATCACCAATCAACATCAACAGGAGAAATCTAAACAAAGTTGTTCCTTTCACCTACCCACCTAACTACCTACCTACCTACCTAGGAAGCGTCGTTTCAACTACAGCTGGCACACAAGCAGATCACAACGTCAAAGCACCCGAGATCGGAAAGACAGCAAGCAAGACAGGCCTTCCTGCATTAATCTGAAAGAAATCAGTGTGGAAATCTACTCCACTCTACTCACCATAAAGTGTCAACAACATCCGGATTTTCAACACCAATGCCAGTCAAATCAAATCAGTCAGTGCTTCCATTCCTTCCATGTCATGGTTCAGACACTTAGCACCATACGGAAAGCATTTCCAACAAACTGCAAATATGCATCACATCAACAGCTGTCTACGCTCACTCAATACTGAAGATCAGATGGCCAGAAGGAATAAGGAACACTGGTCTGGCAGTGAACCAACGAAGCAAGAACCTATCGCCTAACAAATATGCAGTAGAAGAATGTGGAGATGGATTGGATTGTACGTAGGCTGAGAAGACGGTTTGGGGATATCACGTGTCAGGCCCTCGAGTGGAACACAAAGGGTAAACGACGAGGTGGGCGTCCCAGAGTGATATGGAGAAGATGGTGTGAGGAAGAAATGAAAGCTTGTGGGCAGTCGAGGAGCCAGGTTCAAAAGACTGCAGAGAACAGAATGAAATGGAGACGTGCTACTGAAGCCCTATGTTCCACTAGGAACCCAAAAGGCAAATAATCATAATAAATACCTAGGAAGTCGAATCAATCATGCTGGATCAGTGACTTACAAAATTTCCGCACGCAAACAAACGATTCTCCATATTACACCTTTTGTGGCACCGTCATGATATATCCAATTGCTTATTTAAGGGTCAAGGGTACTGTGTTGCAGTAAGTTCTGTTCTACTGTGGCTGTGAAACATAATCATTCAACGCAGAGAGAATAGGTAGGCTCCAGGTTTTCTATGATCAGCTGATGAGGATGCTGATTGAGACGTGTTACGCATGCCTAGTCACACTTCATTTCGCTACAAACTGAATTGGGTTGGGAAAGGTGTGCCAGAATAAAACATGTCATTAGTTCATAAGCCGCGTTAAACAAACGTAGACTTCGTGTTTGGCGCCCAAATGACAACAGAAATTTGTGATTACAGACTCTAGGTGACATAACTGACAATCAATCTCAAACCAACCTCACTGTGATTCTGGACCCAAATAAAAACCCACCTTCCCCCATATAAAACACACTACAAGTGTTAAAAGAGCCCAAGATAAGAAAAATAAGTTTATTTTGATAAGTAAAATAGGAAAAACTCCAAAAACATCACCTGCATTGCTCACTGTAACTCAAGAAAGAGAGGGGAGGAGCGGATGGAAACAAAAAGTGAATCATACCTCATTCACTTTGACAAAAGTTAAGTATGTATTAAAACACAAACAAAGAAAGGGAATAAAGATTTATAACATAAAAGCACACTACATTCATACCTCCCAATGACAATCAATTCGAAAACTGGTGACGATCAGACAGACTATGTTTGACAGTGTACAACAACATAGTGAACATGTAGACTTTTGTTTTTCAAAATAAAAACTACAAAAATGAGCCAGTTCATATGACAGAATGTTATTGAAGGCAAGAAAGTAGGACAAAAAAGCAGAGTAGTCGCGGTAACAACAGTAATTCCAATTAATATCGCCTATAACAATAATAATAATAATAATAGTACACATCGTAATCATGAGAATATCTCACTAAAAATAATATATCCTGATTTCAAATAAGAAAGAAAAGAAAAAGAGAAGCGAAGGGAAGGATAAAGTTAACACATAACCGAACTCTATACACTATACGAAAATTACATACACATTATATGTATGATAGATAAAAAGGGGAGTGGTGTACACCACCACCCATTACATAAACAATAGCAATTCACATAGACAACAACAGTAAGTGATGAACAGTATATCATCATTCAAGGAAAGACATTTTTTCAATTCATCAACTACATGTTTAAAAGGTAAATAGAAGAGGATAAAGACGAGTAGACAAAATAAATCCATAAATATGAAACAAAAGACTAACTGTACATAGTGTATACATAAACAACACCAACAATAGTATAGTGGAAAATAGTTACACCTCTCAATATGGTGATTTCCCTATCCAATAAGTATCCTCATCAAACACACACACACACACACACACACACACACTACAACATCAAAGGTGTCCATTAATCCCTAGGATACACACATATTATCCTTGTCTATAACATAGGAGGAGATATCAAGGTGACAACAACATTTTTAAGCGATTATTAATGATAATACTGATGAATAAAAACGCAATAATGACAACAGTAAGGTTGTATTACAAAGAAAAAGGGAAATGCAGATTACACTTGGTAGAATAGGATAAAAAGTAATCTGTAGACAGTAGTTGATTGAGAGAAAAAAAAAAGGAACAGAACACGACTAATGCATATATGACGCTGAGATTGCTTCCTACGAAGGGTGAGGGTTTGCGGTGACAAGAATGAAGGGTGGATTGGGGTGTAATTCACGCCGCCCCCTCCCCCTCACAACACACACACCACCAACACCAGCTTCAATCATTTACCGGTTACACTTTCACTCAACCAATATGCTTTTATTCCAATCACTTTATAATGTAGGATCAATTGCTGCTGCTGATGATGACGATGATAAATGCTTTTGTGTACTGTTAATAGACTGTTCTTTAGTTAAATTACTACTAATATTGATATTAGTAGTATTGGATAAATTATGTTTACTGAATAATAGTTTATCGTGCTCACAATTCGACCAATATGAAGAGATATGATCAATGTTTGTAGAATACAACAGATTATCACATGGTAAATTTTTATTAGTAATTGTAGGCGGGATCAGTGACCGAGGACCAATAGTAGTAGTCATTGTAGCGCCACTACCAGGACTGATGATAGTGTTATTGCCTGAGAAAAGTAAGACCTTATCACTGGTAACATGTGAACCAGTACTGGCAAGAGTCGACAATACATTCACTGGTTTACTATTATTATTATTATTATTATTATTATTATTATTATTATTATTATTCATAGTGCGTGGAACAGATGGACAACGTATTATGCCAAAAGGAAGCTTATCAGTTGCTTCTGGAGGTAGATAACTACTAGGCGATAATTCTGATAAAGATGGATTACTTTCCAATTGTTTACGTACAGCTGCTAGAGACTTTTTAACACGCATAGCTGAAAGCCTAGCCGATGGACTAGCATACCAACATTCACTCATTATATCTTGTAATGCTCTGATAATTTCATGTTGTGACCAAATAGCTGGTAAACCTGGTCGTAAGCCTTGTTCACAGACAACGGATTTCATTTCCTCCACTGAAGGATCAGCTGACACCAGATCCTGTAGAGAAAACAAAAGGAAAAGACAAAATGAAAAAGGCTTGATGAGAACATATAACCGTAGTGAGAACTTGATAGTATACATTCCATTGACCAGAGAATGAAATATAGTGAATACGCTTATATTCGTTAAGTTTCAGAGTTACAATGCCATTACATAACAAGCAGAAACAGAACAAACAACTGCATCGCTACAACTTGCCACACTTCATAGTATCATAAAAAGAACAAAGACAGGTGAGGAATCAACTTCCATCCCGCCCCGCCCCGCACCCACCCACCACCTCCCTCCTGTACACTCCATCACACCAAATTATTAAGCCGCATCATTCAACAAACCTTAAAAACATCCCCTCCATTCACAATCACCAACAAAATACGCTACCTGCACTCTACAACAAAATATCATATGCACATCAAATTTCAACACCACGTCACACATCATCCTCATAGAATACCACTCAAATGCATCTTTACCTCAACTTCATCCAATTCCAAAACGCATTCCACAGTGTACACCCACAACCAATTTCACACCTCACACTTCAACACTACAGCTTTACTGCCACAAACCTTCATCAAACTCATTCAACACCAGCTATGTGCTATACCACCATAATGCTACATGACAAGTCATTCACAATGCAAAGCTCAACAATGCCCTCCTTGAAGTAAAGACAACGGACAGCAGTAAGACAACCTCGACGCCTACTATCACCCATCATCTTCCTGATTCTCCTCTACTCAACTTCACTGCATCATCCAACACAACTGTGAACAGCAACAAGATGGGCATATGCTGGCTGGACTGGTGAAAACACCCCAGAAGAAGATTTACACTTCGCCCATCATCATTTATATCTAATGTCTTATGTCGCACAAACTCGAAGACCTAAAGGAGAAAACTAACAAGTTGACAGAAGAGACAGCGAAGATGGCACTGCCTTCAGCTGAACATTCACAAGACAGAGGTGATGAAGATACCCAACCAACAACAACAACAACAAGAATCACCAATCAACATCAACAGGAGAAATCTAAACAAAGTTGTTCCTTTCACCTACCCACCTAACTACCTACCTACCTACCTAGGAAGCGTCGTTTCAACTACAGCTGGCACACAAGCAGATCACAACGTCAAAGCACCCGAGATCGGAAAGACAGCAAGCAAGACAGGCCTTCCTGCATTAATCTGAAAGAAATCAGTGTGGAAATCTACTCCACTCTACTCACCATAAAGTGTCAACAACATCCGGATTTCCAACACCAATGTTAGTCAAATCAAATCAGTCAGTGCTTCCATTCCTTCCATGTCATGGTTCAGACACTTAGCACCATACGGAAAGCATTTCCAACAAACTGCAAATATGCATCACATCAACAGCTGTCTACGCTCACTCAATACTGAAGATCAGATGGCCAGAAGGAATAAGGAACACTGGCCTGGCAGTGAACCAACGAAGCAAGAACCTATCGCCTAACAAATATGCAGTAGAAGAATGTGGAGATGGATTGGATTGTACGTAGGCTGAGAAGATGGTTTGGGGACATCACGCGTCAGGCCAGATCAGGTCGTTGAGTGGAAGCCAAGTGGGAAACGACGAGATGGGCGTCCTAGTCGAGGGTCACATGGAGGAGATCGTGGAGCCAGGTTTAAAAGACTGCAGAGAAGAGTGAAATGGTGACGTGCTACTGAAGGCTTACGTTCCACTAGGAACTCAAGGGACAACTAATAATAATCTACGATTTTAAGAAGTTTGTTGGTGTATGGCGGAACCGATAGAGGGACAACGCAATGAGATGATGCATACTTCGGTGTAAAAGGAAAAACCAAAGGAAAACACAGTGCTGTTGCTGAACTAAGTTACCTAGCTGGCTATATCATTTATTCCATCGCACCAGGATATGACACTGACTAATGAATGATCTGGGAGAAGTTTCACAGTGATTGGATTTACATACGACATCCATCTTTTGCTGGACGGTAATGTAGAATCACTAGCACTGCATCTTTAGAGTATTCATCGCCATGATTCTCCAGTAGATGATGCTCATCAGTCGACTTGCCTGCCTTGTCTGGTAACTTTCGTCTGACCTCAACATCACTCACATGGGGATTCCATCAAACAAAGACACCTGTGATAGAAATCCCGTAATGGGTACTTGTCTTGTACTTCTAATGATTATGTCTCACAGCCGTTATAACACGACAGAACAGACTGCAGAGCAGTATATACTCGTCCCTGGATAGGTAGTCGGATATCTCGCCAGTCGGCAACACAAATGACGCGAGTTGGTAAATGAAAAACAGGCCTTCTGCATCCGAGCTGATGCAACTCGCCATGTAAGTGAAGCGGTCGACACATTCCACCAATTTACTACGCTATCACTAAACTGGGAGTGTTTGTAGACCAATCCTGGAGCATCATTTTACATTTGACAGGTGTCAGTGAAACATGCCAAACATACGCAGAAGCCACTGCATTCTGTCAGTATCTTCACCTAACAGGACAATATCGTCGGTACATTTCAAATCAATCAAATGATGTCCAGAGAGTAGATCCATTCTTGTAAAGTCATATTAAATCGAAACTCAGAGTGAGTATAGAGATCGAGAACACTTATGTTGAACTGAATTGATCGGTCTCCATTAGCGTATCGGCTTGTGTGCAGATCCCTCTATATTGCCTATCGCTTCAACTTTACATTTATTATGCACAATGACTAGTAGTAGAGTCTACGGACACACGTTTCGTCCCATTTCGGATGTGTCAGTTGGATATACCTCCCGTCATTATCTGCCACTACTAATTAGAGCCATCAGTAAGATATTTTTTCTTGCAAATGACAACAGTTGAAGAGATTTGAACTACTTCTGTTATTTCTTCACAGACCATTTGATTCCAAGTAAACTGCATTTCATGGATTCATTGTATAACTCCAAGTTTTGAATAATCATGAATACGAAGAGAGAAACATCATGATACAAATTGGATTAAGTTTTTTTTTTTTTTTTGCTATTACCAGTTTTTGCTCTGATTGATCACAATCAACAGTATTATTTTTTATTATATTATTTGTCCCTTGGGTTCCTAGTGGAACATAGGGCTTCAGTAGCACCTCTCCAGTGCACTCTGTTCTCTGCAAACTTTTCAACCTGGCTCCACGACAGCCCATAAGCTCTCATTTCTTCCTCGCACTATCTTCTCCATGTCACCATCACCTGCCACGCCCAACTCGTCGTTTCTCATCTGGGTTCCACTCGAGTGCCTGACCTGTCGCGTCATGTCCCCAGTCGGCCTTCTCAGTGTATACCCAATCCATCTCCACTTCTTTCCAGTACACATTTATTAAGTGATAGCTTCTTGCTTCGTTGGTTGGTTCGTTACCCGACCACAGTTCCTTGCTGCTTATTCTTATCATTCTGGCAATCCATCTGATCTTCATTGTCAGTATCGGGTGAGCAAGCGTAGGCGGCAGTTGTTAATGAATGTCTGTAGTTTGTTGGAAATGCTTTTCGTAACGCGCCAAGCTTCTGAACTATATAGCAGCACTAACTTGACTGAATTGGTGTTGAAAATCCGGCATGTGTTCCACATGCTGAGTGCGGGAGATCTGCAAACTGGTTTCAGGCTGATGAACGCCTGTCTTGCTTTTCCAATCTTGGCTGGCTTTGACGTCCTCATCTGTGCCGCCTGTAGTTGAAACGAAGCTGCCTATGTACGTAGGTGAAAGAGGCTACTTCCCTTAAGTTTCTCCTGTTCATGGTGATTGGAGCTTATTGTTGTTGTTGTTGTTGGTGGTGGTGTTGGTTGGGTATCTTCATCACCTCTGTCTTCTCTACATTCACTTGAAGTCCCGTCTTCCTTCGCTGCCTCACCTCACCTCACCTCTTCTGTCAATTTGTTAGTTTTCGCCTGTAGATCTTCGAGTTTGTGTGACATTAGACACAGGTCATCATCAGCGACGAAATCTAATTCTTCCAGGTTGTTTTCCGCAGTCCAGTCAGCGTATGCCCCTCTTCTCACAGCTGGTCACAGTTGTCTGCTGCATGATCCAGTCGAGTCGACGACAATTAGGAAGATGATGGGTGATAGTATGTGGCAGTCTTGTTTTACTCCTGTCCCCTGTCTTCACTTCAAAGGCATCACTGAGCTTCCCATTGTGAATTACTTGGCATGTTGTGTCTTATATAGTTGTTGAATGAGATTGATAAAGGTTTGTGACACTAAAACTGCAGTGTAGAAGCAACTGCCACATTACTTGTCAGTCGACGCTGTCGAAGGCCCTTTCAAAGTGGATGAAGTTGAGGTAGAGTTGAATTGCCTACCATTCTATACTCTGTTCAATGATGATGCGTAACGAAGCGTAGCAATTTGGTAGGTACATGATTTGTTCTTCCTGAATCCAGCCAACTAGCCTGTTGTGGTCGTAGTTTTGAATCCAGCACATGCTTTAGTCTCTCCAGGATGATGCAGCCTAATATTTTGCTTGCTTGGGGTGCACAAGAGCCTGATCCCGCGCCAGTTCTCGCCCTTCTTCGGGATTTTGACAAGGTATCCCTCCTTCCAATCAGTTGGCAGGTACCCCTTTCCCTTCCCTTCCTTCACGACCTTCTGCAATAATAGTGTGGTGTGAGCATGTCCGCTGTTGTCCCTGCGTCTGATCTCAGTGCTTCTGGCGGGATTCAATCTGGTCCTGCTGCTTTCCCACATTTCAGTAGCTTTATGGCGCTCAGGACTTCCACTTTTGTTGGAGGATTTGTGTTCACTTGTAGTTCTGTGGGTGGGCTTCTGGTGGTATTTCTGGACGAAGTGCAGGTGGTGGTGGTGGTGGCGGTGGTCGATTCGAGAGGTTTTTGAAGTGGTCAACCCATCATTTCCTTTGTTTCTCCTCTTTGGTAATTAGATTTCCTTGATCAACTCTTATTGGTTTCATGTGTGTTGGTCTCTTCCCAGACAGCAAGTTACCTGGTTATTTGATATAGTGTTGTCAGGTCTC